TTATGTGACAAATAATGTTCAAGTATTTTTTGTCTCATAGTAGTAGAATTTATCTTCACTAGTCCAATTATCATTTTATTTTATTTTTCCATCTATTATTTTAAACCAGCAGAGAGTGTGGCAAGGGAAAAATGCCAGGAGGAAGTGGAATTGTGAAGTGTGCGGAAGAAATCAAGAAATAAAGCCTTATAGAAAAGATTCAGGAGGTGTCCTCAGGATGTCAGATTTTACTGTTTAGATCACTTTCCCCAATCATGCACCTATAGCACACATAGCACCACATAAAACAGTTCTATCTTATTAATTAGGACCGAAACCAATAAATTTCTTCTAATTTTTGCCTAATCTACTAGGACTAGTAAATATTGCTTTGTCTTTGTTTAAAACCTCACTAACACTTCTCATCCAAGAAGGACTTGTCAACGTGAGACTATGTTTAGGTAGACAGGCTACTAGGTACCAGTATTAGATCTATTTTATTTCCACACTCGTTAGACTAGTGCAAACTACAATGACTCAAAGCAATCAGTATTTCTTACCAAAAATGATATAGCAGGTTAACCTAGGGAACAGGAAGGACACACATTCCAAGTCAGAGGGGTTAGTCAACTGTCTTCTTGTGCAAGGAACAGAAACTAAGGAAAACTAGGTGGATTGGAGTGGCCAAGTTCTCAAGGATTTTGAGGACAAAGGCTAACCACCACAAAGACAAGAACTGTGCCTCTCTTCCTACTTTTCCTTTTGGGGCCGGCTTGCTGTTCTCATGCTCCTGTTCCCATGTGTAGCTACACTTTTGAGGTCAAAGGCTGTATTTCATGCTCTTCCTCACAATAGGTTTCAGTGGCAGAGAACCTAAGGCACCCATGCTGGGCGGTGGCTGTTCGTTATCATTAAAAGCTCTAAAGTATTCACCATCACTGATCAGGGCCTAGGAGAGGAATCAGGGTCAGAGTATGGACCTTGAAGAAAGTTCTTGTTTGTTTGTTTATTTGTTTTGTTTGGTTTGAGACAAGATCTTCCAGAGTAGTTCTGCTTGGTGTTAAACTTCGGATGATCCTCCCTGCCTTGGCCTCCTGCGTGCTGGGATCACAGACACGTGCCTGACACCCAGCCCTCCTGTTTCTTTTTTAAACAACCTCACTAACTTTAAATTCATAAATGTTATAGCTTGTTTTTGTTTTTATTTGGTTATGCCCAGACTTGAACACAGGGCCTCATGCAAGCTAGAAAAGTGTTATGCGTTAACTACACCATTTAGCTCTTTTTTTCTTTTTTTTCCTTAGGGAAGGAAAGGTTTATTTAGCTCACAGTTACTGGAGGTTTCAGCCCATATTCAGCTGGCTCCAAGGCAGAGCAGCACACGGCAGAAAGCAACTGTTCATGATGCAGCAAAGAGCAAGAGCGCAAAGGGATGGGTAGCAGCAGCTCAAGCAGCTCAAGGCTGCATGAGGCTTTGGGGGGGCCCTATACACAAACCATAACATTCTGCCCCTGGACCCCCAAAAGACTCATGCTCATCCCTTTATGCAAAAGCCATTCTAGTCCATCTCTAAGAGTTGCCAAAGTCCCAACAGTTTCAGCACTGCTGAAAAGTCCAAGTCCCAAGTCTCATCCAAGATCCACGGCAAACTCTCAACTGTGAGCCCCTGTACAAATGAAAACTTAAATACTTGGAACATTGAAAGCCACAAGATAAACATTACCATCCCAAAAGGTACACAGCAGGATACCAAACACTGGGACCAACACAAGTCCAAAATCCAGCAGGGCAAACATTAAATCCTGTAGGTCCTTGTATAACCTCCAAAGCAATCTGTGCCATATTGTGAGCTCCATGTGGCTCCGCCCTGATGGCACTTCTAGAGGTGGTCGCTCCCAGGGCTGCTCTCTTAGGCCGGCTTTGCTGCCTCCTTGCAGTTTCCCTTAGACGATCCACGTTCCTGGCTTTTCCAAACTTCTGGGGTTTCCACGGAATAGGCTTCTCACTCACAGCTTCACACACTGCCCTCTCAGGGGCACACTGCCTGGCCTTCCAGGCCTTCTTCTGAAATCAAGCTGGAAGCCTTCTTAACCTCAGAACTCCTGCATTTGCAATGTGCCTAAAAACAGCACCATGTGGATGATACCAAGGTCTGCTGCCAGCTGGAACAGTAGCCAGGTTATCCTCTCTTTTGGCTGTAGGGGTCAAATGCCTGGATTGCTGAGCACTCTGATTCTGAGGAATATATTCTCCATGCCGCTGCCATTCTGGAACAGGGGTCTCTGCGGCTTTCCCCTCAAGGCAAAGTCCCTGGGCTTTGCAGTTCTGGGGCTGCAGGGGTGGAGGCCTGCCTCCTCCTGCGATGCCCTCAGGCCACCCTTTCCATTCTCTGGTTCCTCCCAGCCATGGAGATCCTCTCAGCTCTCCACCTTTGCAGTCCACACCTTTATTGGAGCTTCCTTTCTAGCCAAACTCACAACATTTTGGCCCATCCTGCTGGGCTCCTTGCTCTTGATTCTCAACATAAATCTGGCTAAAATCCCCCAGCAACAGCCAGGCCACTGCCCCAATATTTGGCAGCTTTGAAATATCTTTTGCCAGATTTTTTTTAATTTTAATGTTATTGGAAAAATATGAATGAGACAGTTTCAAAGCTGATTAATAGGACAGTTTTGATAATCAATACATTGTACATTGTTATCTTCTTAGTGCTTATCCATATCTTTTGCCAGATTAATCAGTCGGCCTAGTGGTTATCCATATCTTTTGCCAGATTAATCAGTCCGCCACGCTTAAACTCACTCTCAGGCAAAGTCTCTGGACACGAGCAAAATGCAGACAACTTTTCTGCCAAGTCAAAACACAAATGATCCGGAGCCCAACAGCCAATGCAGTCCTTCCCAGCAGAGACCTCCCCAGCCTGGTCTTCACAGGCTGGATTTCTAAGTTACTCTTCTCATTGCTGGGTCAAATACCCCACACTCACTTTAGGGAAGGAAATGTTTATTTAGCTCATAGTTACTGGAGGTTTCAGTCCATATTCAGCTGGCTCCGAGACACAGCAGCACATGGCAGAAAGCAACTGTTCATGGTGGCTGCAAAGAGCAAGAACCACTTAGCTCTTTAAGAAAATTTTTCCTGGACTGGCCTCAAACTTGTTATCCTTTGCCTCAGCCTCCAAAATAGCTCAGACTGTAGCCCTGTACCATCACATGATTTTCTTTGGTTTATTTCTTTTTTTTTCTTTAGCAGAATAAAATGTTAGGTATGTTTTATTTTATCTATTGGTCATTTACATTTCTCCTTTAAGATTTATCTGTACCATACTTTGTTGCTGCACTTTTTTCCATTCAAGTGTTACTGTTTTCATTATTGATTCCGATTGCTATGCACATGATTGATTTAAACTGCTACAGACTTTTTCTTTTTTTTGGTAGTTAGTGCAGGGTCTACAGGGTCTACAGGGTCTCACTACACAGATGGATCAGACTTGTAGTGATTCTCCTGTTTTCAGCTTTCCCAAACACTGTGATTACAGGTGCACCACCATGCTGAGTCTCAGTCAGCCTCAGCGTGCCCTGCCGGTGGGGCCAGCATGGTGGGGATCAAACCCAGTCCTTGCGTCTGCCTAAACAGGCACTTTAATCCCCTGACCTATCTGGTCAGCCCCTTTTGGTCTTTTTGAGACAGGGTCTTGCTGTGCAGTTCAGGCTCACTTTTTTTTCCCCTTTTTTTAATGTATTTGGTTGTTGCAGGACCTCACTATGCAGCTTGGACTCGTGGTGCTCCTCCTGATTTCAGCCTCCCCAGCACTGTCATTACAGGCGTGTACCACTATACCTGGACTCTAGCTGGCTTAGCCCTCCCTGGAGGCAGGGCTGGCCTGGTGTGTGGTGCCAGGGATCAAACCACAGTCCCTGAGCTTGCCTAAGCTTGCCTAAGCAGGCACTTTAGTTTGCTGAGCTATCTCACCAGCCCATGCTTTTCAATGTTTTATAGTTTTGTTGGAGACACTTTTAAGTGTCACATCTGGTCAAATCTTTTATTTTGAGTCCTTTGGCATTTACCCCACTGATTTTGTACTTAGCTCTAATTCTTCCTTCAAGAAGCAAGTAGGCCGGGGATGTGGCTCGGTGGTGCAGCGCCTGCCTAGCAAGCGCGAGGCCCCAAGTTCAATTCCCGGTACCAAAAAAGAAAATAGTAAAAATAAGACCAAAAAAAGTCCCTTTGGGGAAAAAAAAAAAAAAAAAAAGCAGAAAGTAGTTCCCTAAAATTTCTCCTAGTTTCTTAACTACCACCCCTGAGCACTTTAACAGACATTATGCTTCAGGTGTATATTTTGATATTTTCTTGTTTTATATTGAATTATATCTCACATTTCCCCATCAGGAATTAATTTTTGAGCACCAGCCAAATAGCTCAGCAGATTGAAGTGCCTGCAAGCAGGCACAGGGGCCAGGGGTTCGATCCCTAGGCCTGCTGTGCCAGCCCTCCCTCCCAGGGCATGCTGAGCCATTGAGACTGAGTGTGGTGGTGCACACTTGTAATCCCAGCTCTCGGGAGGCTGTAAACTGGAGGATCACTATAAGTCTGATCTAGTAGTGAGACCCTGAACAACCTATAGACCCCTTCCTTAAAATACAAAAAAAAAAAAAAGGAATTAATTTTCATATGTGCTGTACATTGACAATTTAACTCTTCACAAGAGATGGACCTATGGAATAATTTTTTTACACCTTACAATGTAATGCCAACATTTTT